AGTATACTATTAATTATGTTTAGGTAATTGCTTCCATGACTGTGGGTAAAGATGTGTCAGCACTTTTCCCTGATGTGGTCAACTGTATGCAGACAGATAATTTAGAACTGAAAAAGCTGGTGTATTTGTACCTGATGAATTATGCCAAAAGTCAACCAGACATGGCCATCATGGCTGTCAACACATTTGTTAAGGTAATGTAACTTAAAAACTTAATAAGTACTTACTATGTTTTATTAATGCACTTTTATCCTCTATATATTTTAATGACACTTGGATGATGTTGAGAGTCTCTGTCTGCAAAGAGGCAAGCTGGAAAAGATTTACATAATAGTAGTTTTTTGTTTCATAAATTTTTCAAATAAATTTGACATCAATTTGCAGTTTGCCTCGTATCATGTACAGACCGTGCTTTGCAAATTACATCAGTTTGCACAGAGCTGTCTGCGTTATGGGACGGAATGTATTATTTTTTTTTTCTTAATGAATTGCTTATTTTTCAAAGGGCACGAGACTGGAATTTGGCTGAATAAAATACGGCATTTACCTTAAATATTTTAAATTACATAAGAATATATTAATAATTTTTATTGGTTTGAGTTATTACCACCAAATTCCAGTATTTTTCTTTGCATTCCAGCATTGAAAACAGGAATTATGACAGTTGTAACATTTAGCAAAATTATTAAAAATTCACTGAAAGGGCTCACAATATATGTGTTAGTTTTTTTAATATTAATAATGCACTAGTATACTTTATGCTGGTTTTCAAAATTGAGCATGGAACTTTTTCAACAAGCTACAAAAATATTATTTATATTTAAACAGCTTATAGAAAGTTGTATAATAACACAGCTATATACTTATATATTCAAAATGTAATTGGCCTTATGAGAAAATTAAATGTAAAGTAGCCTCAATGGTAGAATCAAAAATTTATTTTTAGATATAATGTCTAATGTGTAAACAGCATGAATAAACCGATTCCTTAAATGTCCATTTTATATGTATGATTGCATTATAAATTGCTGCTTGTATGCAGTGCATATATTTACACTATTTGCACGCAAAGTGTTTTGTTCTTTATACAAAACTTTAGTCTTCATTAATAAATGTAATGAGTGTTAAAATTAATATTTCATAATGCAATATTATAAACATTTTGATGTATACATTTTTAAATGTTTGAATAAATATCATGTAACATATTCTTATGTGCATGACACTGAATTCTCTTAATGTGAAATTTATAATTTAATTTTAATTTATAAATTATTATCAAAAATAAAGAATTATAAATAGAAAAGTCTTAAAATGGATATCTCGTGCTCTTTAAAAAATGATCAGTTCTGCATCACATTACATTAAATGGTTGATAAGTATAATATTTAACAATTAATCAAAATGGTGACGGTGACCAATTTGACCTTTTTCGTTCTGACACGCAAAAGGAGCTAGCGACATCTCCGATGACAAAGGTACCATACCATTTTCTACTTCGTTAAAATTCATGGGTTGAAATAGATAGCCACTGCTGTGACTAGACTTGAATCCCTGGCTTGCCCGATTTTTGCGCAGGATTGCGAGGACCCAAATCCGCTGATCCGAGCATTAGCAGTTCGCACAATGGGTTGTATACGCGTGGACAAGATTACTGAGTACCTCTGTGAGCCACTGCGAAAATGCCTGAAGGATGAGGATCCATATGTACGTAAAACTGCAGCCGTTTGTGTGGCCAAGCTTTATGATATTAATTCAGCTTTAGTTGAAGATCAAGGATTTCTGGATCAATTAAAAGATCTTTTATCTGATAGTAATCCCATGGTAAATAAATTAAATTTGTTTCTCATTTGGTATTAATATAAAAATCGTTGATTATTTATTATTCCATTCAATTTTTATATTAGGTTGTTGCAAATGCAGTGGCTGCTTTATCTGAAATTAATGAAGCAAGTCCTAGTGGACAACCTTTAGTTGAAATGAATGCGCAAACCATTAACAAATTATTAACAGCTCTCAATGAATGTACAGAATGGGGTCAAGTTTTTATTTTAGATTCCCTTGCAAATTATTCACCAAAAGATGATCGTGAAGCACAAAGTATTTGTGAGCGTATTACTCCACGTTTAGCTCATGCTAATGCAGCAGTTGTTCTGTCTGCTGTTAAGGTGTATATCTAGTAAAACATTAATATTTACAATTAGAATTATAAATAATTATTTCATTCTTTAAAGATAGGTTTCTTCTTACATAGGTACTCATGAAATTAATAGAAATGTTACAATCAGAATCTGATTTTGTTGGCACACTAACAAAAAAGTTAGCTCCACCCTTAGTAACTTTACTTAGTTCTGAACCTGAGGTGCAATATGTAGCATTGCGAAATATAAATCTTATTGTACAAAAACGCCCAGATATTTTAAAACACGAAATGAAAGTTTTCTTTGTTAAGTATAACGATCCTATTTATGTTAAACTTGAAAAATTAGATATCATGATTCGTTTAGCGTCCCAAGCTAATATAGCTCAGGTTTTATCTGAATTGAAGGAATATGCTACAGAAGTTGATGTAGATTTTGTACGAAAAGCTGTGAGAGCTATTGGTCGTTGTGCCATTAAAGTTGAACCTTCTGCTGAACGATGTGTTTCAACTCTTTTAGATCTCATACAGACAAAGGTATTTCAAAATATACATAAAAAAAATTATTCGTATAAATAATCTTATATATATTTTTAATGTATTAGGTCAATTATGTTGTTCAAGAAGCAATTGTTGTTATAAAAGACATTTTCCGAAAATATCCAAATAAATACGAAAGTATTATTTCAACTCTTTGTGAAAATTTGGATACACTTGATGAACCTGAAGCACGCGCATCTATGATATGGATTATTGGAGAATATGCAGAACGTATTGATAATGCAGACGAATTACTTGAAAGCTTCTTAGAAGGATTTCATGATGAAAATACACAAGTTCAATTGCAGCTACTCACAGCAATTGTTAAATTGTTTCTTAAAAGACCTACAGATACTCAAGAATTGGTTCAACAAGTTCTTAGTTTAGCGACTCAAGATTCTGATAATCCCGATTTACGAGATCGAGGATTTATTTATTGGCGATTACTTAGTACAGATCCAGCAGCTGCCAAAGAAGTCGTACTTGCTGAGAAACCTCTTATTTCAGAAGAAACAGACTTGTTAGAACCAACACTACTAGATGAATTAATATGTCATATTTCAAGTTTAGCTTCCGTATATCATAAACCACCTACTGCTTTCGTTGAAGGTAGAGCAGCAGGTACTAGGAAATCATTACCTGCTAGAAGTAATTCAAGTGAAGATTCAACACAACATACAACACAACCTCATGCTCAAGTTATTCCTGCTCAAGATTCTTTGATAGGTGATCTTCTCAGCATGGATATTGGTAAATAAAAACCTAACCCAAACCCTTGCATAGAATATTTTTTATAGTTATTAGTATTTTACAAAATATACTACATATTGAATTGTTATAGGTGGTCCAACTATGGTTACTCCAACACCAGCTCCTCAATCAGGATTAGGTCTGGATTTGTTAGGAGGTGGTTTAGATGGAATTTTGGGTGGGACTGATACTGGAAGTAGTGCACCTGTTGTATCTCAGAGTACTACTGGGCTTCTTGGTGACATATTTGGTTTTAATCAAGGTCCTACTTCTTATATTGCACCTAAAGTTAATTGGTTACCTGCTGAGAAAGGTAAAGGATTTGACATATGGGGAACATTTTCAAGGAAGTAAGTCATTTAAATTACAATAATATACAAACATAATGTAATAAATACAATTTTATTTATTTTATAATAGAAATGGACAAATTAGTATGGATATGACTTTTACAAACAAAGCAATGCAACCTATGGGTGGTTTTGCAATACAATTAAATAAAAACAGTTTCGGCTTAACACCAGCTGCTCCATTGCAAGTACCAAGTCCTTTAAATCCTGGTGCCAGTATAGATACTAGTATAATATTATCTACTGCTGGTGCAGTGCAACGAATGGAACCCTTGAATAATCTTCAAGTCGCAATAAAAAATAATATTGATGTATTTTATTTTGCTTGTATTGTTCCCATGAATGTATATTTTGCAGAAGATGGACAATTAGATAAAAGAGTATTTCTTAGTACATGGAAAGATATACCTGCTCAGAATGAGGTATTCATTAATTCGTTATTTATATTATTAGATTTACTAGCATATGTTAAACAAGTGGAAACATTTAAATATTTTAGGTACAATATACATTAAAAGGAATAATGTTGACGGCAGATCAAGTTGTACAAAAAATGCAACAGAACAACGTATTTACAATTGCTAAAAGAAATGTTGAAGGACAAGACATGTTATATCAATCTCTTAAACTAACAAATACTGTTTGGGTATTAAATGAATTAAAAATTCAACCAGGAAATCCTGATGTTACAGTAAGTTAAAATTTAAATCTAAATTTAGTTTAGTAGTTTTTATTATTTAAAATGTTTTGTAATCAATATATTTTAATTACAGTTATCTCTGAAATCTCGCTCTGTAGAAGTAGCAGCAGGCATATTCCAAGCGTATAATGCAATTCTACATTCTTAAGTAGCAAAGATTAAATTATATTAATTATATTTCGCGCCATGAATCAATAATTTGTTCATATAAATCATTTTTATTATTGCATATAACTTATCCAGCTGGAAGTTATAAAAAATTTGTTTGTATTTTATCATAAATAACAAATTTAATATACTGTTAAATTTATCATAAAATGGATGTAACTTAAAATAAAAACAGATTGTGTTAATTACTCATGTATATTGAATTTTCCACATATAAAAACATTATATATATATATATAATCATTTAGCACTAATTTCAATTTCAGAATTATTAAAATATAAAATTATTATAAAACAGTTTTTACTAGAAATGAATATAGGAAGGATAGGCTAATATAATAAATAAATAAAATTGTACAATAATTTTGTTTATTTATTGAATATAAAGAGTACACATTATGTTGCCTTAATCATTGTTACATTAACATTGAACCTTTCTCCTAAATGAGCAACCCTCTGTCAATCGAGCTTTGCCACCTGTAGATGTGCATAATATTGTACGACATCCATCACATTCCACTGATCTTTGTGCATGCGAAAAGATGGTTTTAATGGCATAACATCCAGGGCACTTCACATCCATAAAATAGCTATTTGGCTTTTGTACAAGCCTCTTTAGCTTATGTTTTCTTTTTTCTTCAGCTGGACTTGGATGGAGAAAATCTTTAGCAAGGGGCATTCTGCAAAAGAATTAAATTAAAATTTAGATTAAAAAACTATAGAATATAAATTTTAAAATACTTTCCTAATTCATAATGTTAAATGAAATGTTCTATAATACTTTCACAACATGAGGCAATATAATAAATAACTCTACTTCAATTTATATCTTTAACTTTTAAATAAACTTGATTTAACTTTAAAAATGATATAATGTATCATATGCTTCGTAAAATTTTACTTGTTGATATTTAGATGTTACATGAAATGATATACATAGTATACATATTCTAGAATTGTCTAGCAACATCTGACATATAATTTTAATTTGATTTTGATAATTCTTCATACGAGTTTTGCATTATAAGTGAAAGATGTAAGGAATTGATAGTAAATAATATTATTTTCCTTAGTCCCCATGGACATTTAAATGATTATAATTGAATATAATTAGTATGCGTATTGATGCTGCAAAAATATACTACTTTGTTACAGATAGTATAAAGAAGTTAAGTAGAAACAAATAATTTCTTTTATTATATTTACAACGTATGTAACTTAATATTTTACTTGATGTCCTTACTTACGTGACAGTGTTTGTATTTCGCTTTAAATTCAATAATCACACTCTTCACCACGTGTTTCTTTAACAACGTTATGAACTAAAAGAACACGGACTGCCTGGTTTTATATAATCAAACTCCCTATTGATTCATTGTTGCCAACTAATAAAATTTATATTACTGAATTGTAAAAGGAAAAAATATAAGGAAATAATCAGTTAATTTGAAACATTCAAAAGTTTATATACGTGAAATATATTGAATTTTATATATATAATATTGTAATAAATTATTACATATGAACATCAGTAATATACTATGAACATAGTGTGTTTATAAGAGTTTTGATTAGTAATTCTATTGTATCTCATTGATATATTATTATGTTATAAGTATTTAAAATAAATATATTTCATATTTAAAATACGTTTCATTTATGTTAGCGTTTTATTTTATATTTTAAAATTGAATTAGTATTCGTGGTCAATCATTGGGGCGCTGTAGTCAAGAACAAATATTAAAACACAAATACATCTATCATTTGTATGATTTCAGTCTCTAAACTTCATAAGCCATTTTGTGCATTGTTCAACTTAACTGTGTAAAGTACTGCTTATCATTTCATTTTGAAATGTCAAAACTTGGTTGATTGATATTATTGAATATTCACGTCTTTGACGTGAACATGCGATTACCGTAAAACGACTGCTGTCAAGCATTGTCACCCACATAGCTGGAAGATCACATACAGATTTTGTCTAACAAAGAACTTTCCAATATCTTTTATTAACCTTGGCCTGGTCATCATAGCAGTAAGTATCATCCTCAGAGAAAGTTAAAAATAGTTCAATTTAATGAAAAGTTTAACTACATCTATAAAATCGCTTTTTAAACTGGAATGACGTTTGTCCTGCGTAGTATATAAAATTTCGTAACATAGTGTTTAATTTTTGTCTATTACGAAACTAACGAGCTTTCAATTTCTTGAATTATTTAGATATATCCTTTGACGAATAAGCAGTTAAGATTAACCGTAGTTATTCATATTTTGTAACTAAAATAAAATGTAGCATCATATCATATGGAAATTCTTTGACTAGAAATCGTTGGTAACCTATCACTTTCAGATCATGATTGAGTAGAAAAGAGAATATTTTGTGAAGTTGTGAAATTATATAAAATCATATAATTTATATGGATTAAGGTATATCAATTAATAAAACAAATGATTGTGATATAATGCTGATAAGTTGGATGAATAAGATTGTACAGAATATATAATACATCTACTTTATGTTATTACATTATATCAACAACTATGTTGATTCTGTAGTTAATACTGATTACTGTAGTTAATATAGCAAATTATTGAATTTGTGTTTTTAAAATAAAATTTGTACAAAAAAATACACACATGCACACACATATATATGTATATAATATATTTATAATTTCATACAAAGAAATATATATATACACACACACACACACGTGTGAGTGTATATATATATATATATACAAGATAGTATAAATATCTAATTATAAAATTACATTAACTGTAGAAGTATATTAAAGTATATTAAATTGTTTGCATCTCTGCTACAATAAAATACTAATGTATATTAAATAATTGATATTGTGTAAAGATTTATTGATTAAAAGATTAATAAAGCTTCATTTTCATCAATTATCTATTGTATTAATTTTGTAAAATTAGTGAGTCATCTATAGAATATAAGAATTTTTTATATTAAGACCTATTATACAAATTTTAATTGATAATATTTATCATTTCAGTACACATTGTTTTGGCAATTTAAATTACAATAATGAATAACGAAAATTTACAAAAACATCTATATCACAAGCCTGAAGATATGGAGTCACCATCATCTTTACCTGCTTTCCAAAATTGTATAAATGTATGGATGGAAAAAATGAACAAAGGAATACTATCATGTAGCCATTTTAATGAACATTGGAAAGTCTGGGTTCCAAAGATATATAATCCAGAACCAAATAGCAATTGTTTAGATTGGGTTTTTGATGAGGAAACAGCACAAAAAGTACTTTTTAATACTTTAGAAGAATTTATTTGTAATGGAGATCCAAAGGTCGTACTAAAAGAACTAAGTCAAATGGATAATGTGATATGTGGTAAAGTGTTCAAAATGGGCGAGGCTACATATAGTTGCAGAGAATGTGGTGTGGATTCAACATGTGTCTTGTGTGCAGATTGTTTTAAGCAGTCAGCTCATCGTAATCATAAATATAGAATGGGCACTTCTAGTGGTGGAGGATTTTGTGATTGTGGAGACATAGAAGCTTGGAAAAGAGAACCATTTTGTAACACACATCTAGCTGGAATACAAGCTAAAGAATCTCATGGAAATAAATTACCTGGAGATATAGCAGAAAGAACAGTAATAACTTTTGAGGCAGTATTAAGATATTGTCATACAATGTTATCTTTAGAACATACACTTGGATTACCTCCTGATTTGTGCTTGAATAATACAGAGGATGACGATCCTTTGTCACTAGCTACAGAAAATTATTGTACAGTTCTTTTTAATGATGAGACCCATACATTTGATCAAGTAATTAATACACTTATGCGTGTTATGAATTGCTCACAAAGAGATGCATTAGAGTTTGTAACAAATGTTGATAGAGATGGCAGAGCTGTTGTAAGATGTGCTGATTTTCAACAATGTAAAGAATTGCAGAATGATATTGAAAAATTTCGAGCATTAAAAGTACTTGTAGTTCATTCTCATGTAATTGCTCATCAGATATTTGCCATGAAACTTTTACATTGGTTGCAACAATTTATAAATCCCCGTGAAGGTTTCAGGGTACTTTTCAGTAATGTTGCACTCAATACAAAATTGCCAGTTATTTCCATTGTAGAAGGTATACTTATGAAAGATTCACAGTTATGGAAATCTGCTAGAACAGCATGGCACAGATTATTAATGTCTGGAATGCTCATGGAATATGAAAGTAAAAGAGCTTTAGCAAATGTTTTTACATATAATTATGGTTCTATTATGAAAGATTATATAAGAGATGATCATGATCATTCATTTTCTATTGTTTCATTCTCTGTGCAATTATTTACTGTTCCAACATTAGCACATCATCTTATTGCACATCATGATGTATTGTTCATTTTATTAAACACATTTATTTCGGAAAGTACACGAAGATGTAATGCAGCAGGAAAATTGGAATTCGAGAGAGATACTCCTAATACTTCATTTAAAAGAGCTATATGTATGCTCCAAGATTTACGATATTTATTAAGCTCTAAACCAACTGTTTGGACTGACGAATTAAGAAAAAGCTTTTTACAAGGACTTTCACTTTTGTTCACATTACTTAGTAGTATGCAATGCATGGATTCTGTAGTAAGACAGGTTGGTCAACATATGGAATATGAACCTGAATGGGAATCTGCTTTTAATTTACATATTAGACTATCTCCAGTTATTAGTCTTGCATTACAATGGTGTGGTTCAGATCAAATAGTTTTAATAAAAGCTTTTCGGTTAGTTTTAAGAAAATTATATGAACAGCCAGGACATGAGATTGGTCCACCTCAAGTGAGAGAATTAGCAGATCATAGTGCAACATGTCTTCAATATGATGTATCATCTGAACCAGTATCTATACATCTTCCACTTTCCAGATTTTTAGCAGGTCTTTTTCCATATCTTGAAATGCATGATTTACATTTCCAGTGTGCAGAATTTATCAATCATACAAAGCCAACATTAGAACAGATCATAGAACCGGTATTAGCAACTCAAGTAATGATCGCACAAGTACATAGTGGTATGTGGAAAAGGAATGGATATTCTTTGTTAAATCAGTTATATTTTTATCACAATGTTAAATGCCGTTCGGAAATGTTAGACAAAGATATTATTTTGCTTCAAGCTGGAGCATCTTTAATAGAAAGTAACGAATTTTTAATCCATGTTTTAAATAAATTTAATCTTCTACAATGGGCAAGTTCGGATTTTGATGTGAATGCTATCAAATATCTTGAAGATGAGAGTATCAGACAGACTTTAGTTGAAGAGTTTCTAGGATTACTTATAACAATAATAGGAGAAAGATATGTACTTGGAGTTGGACAAGTTACTCCTGATGATATCCTGAAAAAAGAAATTATTCAACAATTGTGTATCAAATCTCTTTCTCATTCAGAGCTTAGTAAAACATTATCAGATGATACATATTTGGAAACTGAAATGGAAAGAGTAATACAAGATATTGCAAATTTTAAAAAGCCTTCACAAGTATCAGGAGGGAAAGGAGTATATGAATTAAAACCTCATTTATATTCGGAATATAATGTATTCTTTTATCATTATACAAAAGAGGAAGTAAGTAACTCTGAAGAAACACAACGAAAACGAAGAAAAGCTCTAGGTGAATTAGAATGTTGTCCACCTCCTAAACTTCCTAAATTAACAGAAGTATTTAGTTTGGTAACTAATTTATTGCAATGTGATGTCATGTTACATATTATGCAAATTGTACTGGAAAGAGCACTTAATTGTAGACCTCGTAGATTTTCAGAATCACAAGTACATAAAATTTTACATCTTATTGGATATGCTCTTCAAGAACAAGAATCTGGTTATTATCCTTTTTTTGCTTTTACAACAAGGGCTGCAAAATGGAAAATTTATAAGTTGTTAGAAGATTTATCTAGTAGTCCACGTGTAGAAGCACATAAAGATTTATTAACGTGGACTGTAACAAAATACAGAGAAGTTGCTGGTAATACTCCGATGGAAGTTAGTACACCTGCTGCACCACGTACAGAGAATATTGCAACTGAAAATGTTGAAACTGATAAGGAGTGGAGGACAAAAATGGCAGCAGAAAAACGTGCAAGAATCATGGCACAAATGGCTGCTATGCAAAAACATTTTATGAAAAAGAATGCTGAATTATTTGAAGAACCTGCTTTAGATATGAATAAATCTAATGACCAAGATTCTAGTATGAATTCAAAAAAATGTCCACAAAAAATGCCTGTTGCTGTTGGTATTGGACAAACATCCAGGATATCTGGTGAAGAAACTTATAAAACTTGTATTTTGTGCCAGGAAGATCAAATTGTAACAGCAGCTGGCCCAGCAATGGTGTTAGCTGCATTTGTTCAACAATCCACAGTTCTTTGTCAATACAGGGCTAATACTGATGAACCTGATCCATTATATCTTTCAGCAAAGCTTGGTGCATCACCACACACTGGAACTTGTGGTCATGTAATGCACGTTCATTGTTGGCAAGAATATTTTAGCAATGTTCTTGCAAAAGAGAATAGAAGACCATTCCGTTTACGACAACCGGCAAGTTTTGATGTAGAAAAACATGAATATCTTTGTCCACTTTGTGAATGTCTCAGTAATACTGTTTTACCTCTTTTACCACCTCTAAAAACGTTGCAACCAACTTCTCAGAATCAACCTGAACTCGATTTTGGTACATGGTTGGAGGCTTTAAGAATTACAATGCAAGTTAGATGTGGATTAAGTGGAAACTTGCATGAAGCAAAATCTATTAAAGATGAACACGATCCAACATGTCGGTATTGCATAATGCCACATCCATGTCATATACAAGCTATTCGTGATGAACTTGGAAATGTAGCAAATATATTTGAGTCAAATTATAGTCAACTTGGTCCATCCATTTCAGAAAATTTAATATCTACAATTCAACTTTTTGCACAAGCAACATACACAAAAGAATTTGGCACTGAACCCGATGAAGATGATGATAGGGTGCCGCTATTGGCATGGAAATCAACAGCATATAGTATTCATGCTATAGAATTTCTTTTACGTGATATGGATAAACCTTTATTAGGTGCTTTGTCATCCAGACAAAGAGATAGTTTAGAAGGACTTGCAAGGATTTCAGCTGTTTTAGGATCTAAATGTCAACCACGTTCTCATAAAGTGACATGGACAGATAGAGATATTATTCAAAATAATGCACTCTCTCTTTTAACATTATTGTTAAAAAATCCACATGAAGGGCCAAGTATTCTAGATTGGGATCCATTTGGATTGCTTATTCCCTTAATTAATTCATTTCCTAGTCTCTTTTGTACAAATTTTAAGACTGTACCATCAATCATTACAGGCGGAATATTTGAATTTTATGCCTTGCAACTTATATTTATAGCTCTAATAGTAAAAATACTATTAACATCAGATTTTAATGAAGAAATGGATGTAGATAATCCGGAGACAACAGAAGATACATTTTCAGAATCTATCTTAACATTGGTTCAAGTTTTAAACATTAATGTTGGCACACAAACTGCTGCTAATATATGGAGACGAATCACAAAAGCTTCTTTGCCTTTTCTTAGATGTTGTGCTCTCTATTTTCATTATATATCTGATGTTCCAGCACTGGAAGAACTAACTAAAATAGATGGAGCGACATACGAAAATATCTGTGCATATTTGGGATTACCAACAATATGTGATGAATTAGTAAAGCCAAATTTAGATATAATTATAAAATTAATAGATATTTGGAAAAGTCATCCCACTGTTCAAATGCATCTATCTGGTGCTAGTACAATCACAATAATAAAGGAACCTTTGAAAGTTAATAAATTAGTGGAGCTTCCAGAAGATTATAGTGAATTGATAAATATGATATCGTCGTTTACGTGTCCAAATAGCGTCCGGGAAGATTCCAAAACTCCGACGCTGTGCCTAATATGTGGTGAAATGTTATGTTCTCAAAGTTATTGTTGCCAATTTGAACTGAATGATGCGCTGGTTGGTGCGTGCACATATCACGCAAATAAATGTGGATCTGGAGTAGGATTATTCTTACGAATACGAGAATGTGAAATTCTTTTTTTAAGAATCTCGAATCGAGGATCTTTTGCTTGTCCACCTTATCTAGACGAATATGGAGAAACAGATCAAGGCTTACGAAGAGGAAATCCATTACGATTATGTCATGACAAATACAGGCAATTGAATCAAATATGGTTAGGGCATGGGCTATATGAATCCATATCAAGGGCTATTGAGTCTTCAACTAGTCCTATGTCAACAAGATGGCATCATCTATAACCATTCTAGGATTTTTGTGCTCTAGCCTGAACATTTAGTTATAGATATTAAATCTATATTTAGCAGAAACAATCATAGTAATAAATACTATGATTGTTAATCATCTGTTTGATCATCGAAAAAAACTGATGAAATTATTTATTTTGACGATACAGTGTGGATGGCTTTGTATATTTAAAATGATTGGATGTTATTCTCGTTGCGATGTCCTTTTAGATTATTTCAGAGTTTACGGAATTTTCTATTATAATTGTATAAATTAAATATAAATTTCTTTATAATTATTGAGAAATGTATGAACATTGTTGCTTGTAGAAATTAGTTTGTAATATCATTTGAATAATTGTCACATTGTTTACAAAATTCTAGGATCATGTGAATAATTGAAATTGTACAAATGGAAAATGTTTCTGTCTTAGCTATTTTAAGATACTACTAATGATAAACGTCACTTTTCGTATAATTTCACACGTTTCATAAGTGCATCTAAACTATCTTACGTCATAAATTGTTACAAGTGTAAAAGAGTTGAATATATAAAAATTTGAAGATTGTAAGCATTAATAATTTTGCAATAATGAAATATTTATTTTAGTTTTGAAGTTTTCAAATCAGTAATGCAACACATAAATGTTGAAAATTCATAAAATATTAAAATTATTTCCGAAAATTCAAATAAATAATGTGACATAATATTTGTTTTCTCATTGCTAGTCTTTTAGTTCAATACATTTGATATAATAAAATATATAATTTAGTAATATCTCATTGCATAACATTATATCGATTAATTTTTTGTTTCCAATATTGCAATGCATTAACTTATATATTGTACAGTTATTTAATATTGATTTATTTATGTATAGGCTTACAATAGATACAATTACTTAGATTCTGGATCAATTTACAAGTCTAAAATCTTTAATTAATAATGCAGTAAATATAATAATTTTAATTTTTACTTATACACGATAAATTTTAATAAATAGTAACATTGATTATTTATATATAAATAACAATTTTACTGTTAAATTTATGAAGTGCAATATGTATTTATTACTTGTTTCATTTAATTAAAAACATGCAGTAAATATTGTTAATAGCAAAAAAATGTTTTACTTTTATATTTTGAAATTTTCGTGTAACAAATTATTTATGTATTTATGATAGATTATTATATATTTGATTATAAACATTTCCAATTAATTAAAGAAAATTCACAAAAGAAGTGGAAAAAAAATGTTCAACTTTGTCAATTATCTATAACTTACTGATAAAAATATATTTTTAAAAATATCTAGTTTATTTAAATTTTAATGATAATGGGAATGTGAAAACATATTTTAAGAATACTATAACATTTTTAGTAATCATATGATAACTTTTTGAAAAATTTTACATGAAGATAAATAATTATTTATAATCTATATTTTTAATTACAACTTGAAGTTACTGACTGCTGTGGAAGTATTATTGGAGAAGGGTAAGAATACTAAAAATTTAATATTAAATATTTATTATGAAGTATATACGTCTAGAGTTATGAAATTTTCTATACTAAATCATAGATTTCTTTTTGCTTATAATTCTGTTATAAATTATTTTTTTCACTACAATAGATATAAATAAAAATACAATCATGATTAATAATCTACAATACTTTATGATTTTCACAATTCTTATACTGATTATAAACGTGTAATAAACTTTAATGTCTCCATTTAAAATCAGCACGTGCTTTTATGGACAATGTATCTTTTTATATAGTTTCAAATAATAAAATAATAAATAATATCACATATTTCTAAAAGGAAGGGGAAATGAAATTAGTGATGAACAGTTAATTTTAGAACATTGTTAATGTCGCAACATAATGATACATATATATAATGTGTAATACAGAGTCGAAGATGAAAAGTCTAACGAGATAGCTGGATGGAAGGGAGTAATCCCCTCTCTCACTCATTGATATGCTGGCCTTGTTTGTTGTGTAACACTTTCGGTTAATAGGTACCTTTATATTTAAAAATGTATGGGATCTATCGGAAACAACCAACCGTATTTCTCCCGAAAGATTTTTCATTTCAGCACACAAGTACATATATGATAAAAAGATCTTGTAAGATTTGTACAATGTGTGATAACGATTTTATTTTCTTTTTTAAGAGAAAAGAAGAACGATGATTTTTGTTAACGAAGAAAATAAGATTTCCAGAAAATTCTCTAGATTTCTCAATATTTCGACGTTGACATACGTGATAAAATGCGCAGTCGCAAAAGAAAGTAGAGGGTACTATTCGGCTGACAAAAGGATGGGTTACAGTGTTGCGTAGTAGGAAGGAAGATTGTTTCACTGGTAGCAGGATTTGTGTTTTTAATCTTATGAGAGGAATTGGTACGATGATGAGTGACATCGGTTCACGTGTCTACGTGCGCTGTGTGAGCACGTCAATAGAAAATGTCAGGACTAAGTGTACGAGCGGTGATAATGAATTGTGATCCTAGTAGTTGTCCTCGTTTGACAAAAGAATCTTTGTCGGGTGTTCGTCTCTTTCCTGGTCGTTTACGTTGGTACTCGGTAACACCGGTCTCTCAATACGGTCAACCGTGGAATGGCAGCAGCCTTAAAAAAGAATCATTCACGCAGAAGGTTGGCCGCGCTAACATTTCTTTCGAATATCTCCCTCGATGGCAGCCACCGCGATACAAAGTTAGCTGTTCTATCGCGGAATGGTGCTGCTCATGCACGTACCTTGAGCGATAGTCAGGCTCATCAGGTTGATGTTCGTCAAGCCAATTTGACCGTTTCTACTGAAGAGGTTCTTGATGACTGTACAGAAGAGCATTTAATATCCTCATCTGCAAAGCAAACAAGCTCTCCACAATTAGTGCCAAAGAGTGGTGAACATAATTCATTTAGTTCAAATTCTGACGGGTTATTGACTCCTGCAAAGGCAGCAGTGGCTGTATTCCTAGAACAAGAAAGAAATTATCCGCAGCTTTCTACTGGATTTCATAGTTCATTCAGAGAACGGTAAAACAGTTGTTTAAATTTCCTTATATGTACATGTGTACTTTGTTCCACTTTGGTGAATTATTATTAAATTAGAAATTTCATATGTATTTATCGGAATTGAATTATCAATTGTTTAGATCATAAGGATTTGTTTCAGTTGTTTTGATGTTTTTTATGAGATAAAAAGTGAAACAAGTACAATTTCAAGTTGTTTACACACATGTTATATAAATCTTACTATCACTTTACATGTGTATAAATAATCGAGTTGTTGATTTTATTATATACTCTTATAGAATAAAATAAATCGTTTTATACAAGTACAATAATAAATTGATGTGGTTATTCATTCCTAGCAAAATTATAATTATTATAAATTTTGTTATCTATAATTATATTGTTTATATAGTTTATGTAGTTAAGAAAAGAAGAAATTAAATAACAAATTGTATTAGAACTTGTAATAATGTGTAATTTTTTTATAAAAATAATGTTCTTTTGTTACATAATTATTTCACTAAATTATTGAAGATAATATCTTGTAATGTGTTTTATATTAGTAATATATGTTAATACAAGTATTAATTGTTCTATATTAATATTTATTGTATAAAACAAATAAGAAATATATATTTATTATAGACAAAAAAATAATAAATAAAATAAGTATATTTTTAGGTCAGTATTTGTTTCATTTTCTAAAATAATAATGAATAATCTTTATATTTTGGAATGATGTAATTCCAATAAGCCAAAATTATCCATTTAAAATTATTATAACTTTGTAATCAACATTTATCTACAATATATTAAACTACATTTAGAATCAATCTATATTTTAATTTTCATATATTATTAAAAATAGAAAGTATAAAGAATTTATGTTTGTTTCTCAGTACTAATACAACTGGCAGTGAATATTCTTTACCTGAAAGACGAGTTGGTTCTTTACAATATAAAAAACGTATAACTCATCAAACATCAACTCTTTCGGAAGATATAAAGCATCAATACAATAGTTCCAATGAGAGTATTGGTTCTTTACGCTCTAAACCACAATCCTCAAAATCAAAATCAAAAGTATCAAATAATGTGCAGTCTGGTTCTGCAAATAGTGGTATAATACCAGAAGTTACAAGAGAATTGCGTTTAATGCAAAAACCTGTAAATGGCTATAAATTTGGAGATGATAGATTGGTTTTGGTTTCTAATAAACGTGTGCCATTTCTAGTATTTTCTGCTCTTCCATATAATAAAGGACAAAGATCTAGTTGGTAAGATAAACATAATACAAATTAAATGGCATTGTATTTAAAATACACAATAGATACTGTAATTCTTTTTTTTTATAGGTCTGAACTGCGTAAAGATACAGGCCGAAGAAAAAATATTTCCTCACAGAGACCATTGTCAGCAATTAATGATAATATTGATCCCTTTGGTTTATTGGGAATAGAACGTGCTAAAGACGGCCAGGTATTTAATTAAATAATACACTGGTAATTCTCTCAGTAATTAATTCTAAGGTATCAGTAATACTGTGTCAATTATATGATTTATTATCAGAAACTAACATTGGGAATATATTATTTACGATATAATTAGTAATGCTACCTTTGTTAATTAACGAGAAGTTCACTTTGTATGTATGAATTTATTAATAATTAATTTTATAAATTTTTAGGAAATATCTTATGGACAGTTACTTGTTCCATCTAGACAGTTTCAAAGAGATAAAAAATTACATTTTAGCGATAATGATGCAATAGAACTTATTCCTAACAAACATCCTGTAGTTTCAAGGTATTTGCTTTATGTAATAAAACTTAATATATTTTTATTTTAGTCTAATATTTTATTGCAATTTCGTAAGTACAAGTTGTAAGATTATTTTGTCCAGAAAAGTTTTTATATTATATAATATTTTTATATATTCCCTGTTTCATATATTTTAATTCATCTTTCATATTTCACTTATATACTCACAGAATATGCACTGCATTATTTTTTTTTGTCTTGTAACGAAATCTTTTAACCATATTTTGCAGGACAAAAACTATTACATGGAATGTGGATCACTCCAAATGGTAAAACATAAAATCATATTGCATTAAAAAAGAGAAATAAATTAGAATTGTGTATATTAGCAAATGTGGATTATAATTTATATTATTAATTATTTTAGAGTAGATTTTTATTAGTACATATTTTTTTATTATATATATATATTTTTATATATATATATTTTTTTTCAACATTACATAGCACTACAATACATATTTTTGTGGTTAAATGGAAAATAAAAAATATTCTTATTATATATATTGAAAATAAATTTATATTTGAATATAATGTAATTGAGTTTATATTGCTACTATTAATAAAAAGTAATTGGTTGAGTACATATTATACCTTTATTAAAATATAAACTTTTATTTTGATTATTTTGATTATATTAATGAGTTGATAAGATAGTTTTACATATGTCATCTTGAACTATATCATGATTTACATTTTCATTATACATATACATATACACATATATTATAATTAGTTTTTATTCGTTATTTTTAGATTTAGTATCTTATATTATATGCAAAATATTTGAAAGTTATAGCAAATTACACGTATTTTACTATTTTTCCATGCTGTACTTTATAATTTTTTCCAGGTGTCTATCGTATGATACGGCTACACATCGTGCTCAACATTTAACACCCGAATCTCCACCACTATCTTTTAATACTGATTCTAAAGGTATATTTTTATAATGTATAAATTATTTTAAATAATAAACAAAATAATAATGTATATAAAATTCACTTTAATTGTAGCTTATGATTGGGATGAGCAATCATTACAATACAATCCTAATTTATTAGATGATCCAGAACTCATAGCTGGGAAGCATAGGACGCTGCTTACATTTACATCGTATATGGTATATATAGTTTTATTACAATATAACGCATGTTGATATGTTTTTTAATAACTACTTATCTATCCTATGTAGGCATCAGTTATTGATTATGTAAGACCATCTGACTTAAAAAAAGAATTAAATGACAAATTTAAGGAAAAATTTCCCCATATACAACTTACTTTGAGCAAATTAAGAAGGTCAGTACTTAAAAATATAATGTTAAAAAATTTATAAATATATAATATTTTTATTCATAATTTAATTATCAACAATGATATGCATATAGTTTAAAACGAGAAATGAGAAAAATAGCAAAGATGGAATATGGTATTGATCTCCTGACAGTAGCAATGGCTTATGTATACTTTGAAAAACTTATTCTTCGGAATGTTGTTACGAAACAAACGCGGAAATTATGTGCCGGTGCATGCTTGCTTCTTGCAGCAAAATTGAATGATGTCAAGGGTGATGTTCTTAAATCATTAATAGAGGTATTTATTTCATATGTAAATATTTTATATCAATATATTATATTATTAATCAATGTAGAATAATTTTGGATTAAACTTTAACTTTACGCAATTTACAGAGAATTGAAAGTGTATTTCGTCTAAACCGCAAGGATTTAATTACATCTGAATTTGCTGTTTTGGTAGCTTTAGAATTTGGTTTACATCTTCCAACATGGGAGATATTTCCACATTATCAGAGATTAATATACGAATCTTGACCTTCTTTTATGACATTTTTCTTACGCAGACCCAGAACATTTTCATCATAACATTGCTGAACAAGTATGAAAAGTACAATGCATATAAACTTTTAAGCAAAAGAGGAAAAAATTTAAAAATAAGGATACATTATGGTTATTTACAAATTTGTTGACCTGCAATATCATAAAAAAACAATATATTGGTAAAAGTTATAAACAATTTGATAGGTAAGAATAATTATACAAAAGGATATTACAAAGTATTTCATTTTTTTCTTATTATGACTATTTACAGTAAAAGGGGGCTTTAACACATTCGAGACGGAGCCGAACATGTATGTTTTATGTTCTATAAATTATATATTTTTTTTAATGTGCATTTTTTATATTAATAAATATTTATATTAATAAATATTAATATATTAATAAAAATTAAGTGTATTATCAGACTCGATACACATCCGACTAAAGTGTCCGACACCGGCTAAACGAATAAGGAAGTGTCAGTCCGCGGGGACTGATACCGTCTCGAACGTGTTAATAATATAAAGTTCTTGTATGATAAAATTGTTTAATACTTCGTAAATTTGTAAACACACATATTTATATAATTAGGGTAATTGTACATAATAGTAGGAATTCCTGAATTGGATGTTATTAAGTATAAGGAGTTGTAAGAATTACAAATACCAGTGTTTAAAATATTGTAAATACTTAAACACGTTCTTATCTTTCAGATACTTATTCACATACTCATTCAATTTCTAATTTGTTTAAAATTATAATTAAAACAATAATTGGTTTAGTATAGTTAATAGTTCCTCTTTAGTGGTATGATAACTTATATAAAAAGATGATGTTAATTTTACAGAGTGATAGATAATTTAATAAACTTGTAAAGAGGAAACGACAAATGCTTTACAGTCAATAGGAATTTTTCAAATTTTAGAGAAGTCAGTTATAGAGATTTAATCATACAAATGTAAGTATTTTTTCCAATTTTTATAATGTATAAGTAAAATTGTTTTTTAAAGTTTTTAAAGTTTATTATAAACATTAAAAGATTTTCATATTTCAAAAATATGAATTCGAATTTTATTATTTTTCTAAAAAGTTTATTTAAAAACACATATGTACGGTTAAAGATTTTATTTTAAATATTACAAAAATTAATTTTTATTTTAAATTGCTTTTGACATCTTTTCAATATATGATAAATATTTGTTTATAGAATCGTTATTTGCTGTAAAAAATAATAAAAATTAATATTATTAAATAGTAAAAAAATGTATAGATGAAACTACCAATGAAGTAATTATTTTTTAATGTGAAAATATTTACTAAATTAAGTCATTTTTTCTTATTAAATGTCATATTTCTATAATTGTTTTTAGAATACATTTGTGATTTCTTTAAATCATAAGTTCTAAAGAAGATTTTATTTTTTGATATTTTTTGGCTACTAATAGAATGAGTAGCAGAAAATTTAATTGAATATTTATTATAGATTCGATATAAGTCGAATCTTTTCTGAACAGAGGAAGTGGAATTTTTTTCATTTTTTTTTTTTTTAATCTAGTCAAGTCAATTTGGTTCATTTTTGTGAATTAAGATTGGCACAGAATATGATATAATGTTAAATAATAATAAATTGTTACTTGCATATGTGTGCCTAACACTTTGTTAAAATAGAAAAGTTACAGTCATTTTTCTAATTCAGTTATATTTTACAACCTTTTCATAGCACTTGAAATACGTAAGATTGTATATATAATTTAGATTCGTATGAATTATAATTTCGAGACATTAATGAGACATACTCGAGACTACACTAATAAATGAAAGATATTCAATACACGTAATATATTCAAACATAAAATGATTGAAATAATTAATAATGTTGTTACTTAATTGAATAAATTACGAAAGTTGTATTGTAAATACAACATATGATGTATATTAATATTATCAAATATTCTTTGAAATCCAAAGTAAGCTATCTATAATCGTACTTATGCTTGAATTACGCTGAAAAATAAGGCAAATTTTCAAAGAAATATCTTATTATAAAATTAATTTTATATAGATTTTTTCAATTTTAGTTTTCTTTTGTATTAATTCTAACGCTAAAATGTTTCAATTTTTCAAATATTCTTCCCAGATCGAAGTTTTATGCAACTTTAATATAGCATTTTACTCATAACTTTAAATTTTGAAATATTTGTTAGTAACAAATAATATTAAAAAGATCCGTTTAAAATATGCAGGAGTCATCGGTAGTATTTATAACGTTTCATTCTTATGTTGATGTTATATCTTCATACTAACTAACACGTATTTATTTTATTACTGTGTATAAAAGTTTCTGTTTTAATATTTCTTTAATTTTATCCATTGATTAATCTATATTGAGTAATAAATATTTGTTTATTGTTATAAATAATTAATACAATAATTATTATAATATAAAAGTATAGCGAGAAAGAAGAAAGCCTTAAAGCTTTTTATTTTTTCATATTAATAATATTTAAGATAGATTTTGATTATATAATCTGAAAAGATGTTATTAAGCGTATACGCTTAAATTAAAAGAAAATTGTTCTTCAAATTCTTTTTGTGAATATTTTTTTGAATCTTCATATGCAATTGAATCCTAATGTGATTCAAATCAATGATGCATACATTAAATCTTCATTAAGTAAATTTATTGTATCCATCCTATATTAATCACGTGACTTCATTTTTTTTTTTTGTAAATTTGTAAAAACAAAAAAATTGCAAAAAATTTCATATAAATATTGCTTTCTATTCAAATATTCGCAGTATAGGATTTAGTCATTGTAAGGACTCGTCACTGGCAAAAATTAAAAGTTAAAAATTCAATCTTCAAAATTGAAATTTAATTTTTTTAACATTAATTTTAAAAATTTGATAACTGATTTATATCAGTATTTTTTATAACTGATTGACTATTCTTGCTTGTAATATATTCAAGAAATTATTGTGATTTTCGTTACGAATCAATATGTTTAGATTCAGTAATTCGATATTAGGTGTATATCACACATATGTACAAGGATTTCAGAATCAAAGTTATATATTTTCTTTTTTTAAATTTATTTTTTTTGAATTTCATCGAAAATAGTTCCAAGTTTGTGCCATAATACTTATTTACTTTACGTAATTTTACTTAAATAGAGGAACAATGACGGATATTCGTTTTTGTTCAATGCGCTTTCATCTCCGACTGAAAAAAAATGTTCGAGACGTATTGTACATAGTTCTTACCTTTAGACTAAGTAATCTAGTTGTATAATGTCACATAAAATACCATATTCAGGGTAATTCAATTGAGATCACAAAAAATTCTCTAATTGTTTGTTATTCGATATTTTCGAGCCGGTTCTCACAAGATTAGTCGAAATGACCATAGTTTACTATAATTGTAAACTTCTGTATCAACACGTCAAATATTGTATCTATCATACATACTTTGTGTGCGTGTGTGCGTGTGTGTGTATGTGTGTTCGTATGAATATACATGTGCATATGAACTTGTACATAGAGTGACAGCATTAAGACTGAAAACTTAAAGAAGTCAGTTTTCAGTTCTCCTCTTCGATTTTTTCTTAATCAGTGTGAGGAACTCCCATGGTATAATATTATCAGATAGAATATAGAAGGAAAATGTAGATGATGGACTTTGATATGATATACATTTGTGGATGGCGATTTGATAGTTGATGAATTAGGGTTTGACGAATGGATCAACGATTTTAAAAGTAAAAATTTGCTCACCAGAGATTTCTATACCTATGTACCTACTTGCATAAAGTAGTCTTGGACATTATGTGATATCGTTTTTATTTGTGTAATATTAAAAGAGTTATTCATATTAACATTCAACCCTATTACGGTTGCAAATGACCATTTTCAATGTGCTTCATCAATGTGCTTTGTAAGATCGTGAATATGTGCTGTGATTATTTAAAAAAAGATTGATCAAATCTCAGTCGCTCGTAAATTTAAAATGGTCATTTCATTTCGATTTCATACCATAATGAACGTTGCTCCTTGCAAACTCTTTCAGTAGTAATGTTTGATAAGCGTGATGATCTGAAACTTTTTAATAAAAACATTTTCTTTCTATAGAAGCATAAGTAAGATAAAAACGAACGTATAAAAAATAGTTTAAATCATACGACTATTGCAAGTTACGCTTATCAAATTTTGGATAAATGTTCTTGTCGATTCACTGAAAGAGTTAACAGAAATAATATACGAGTTGTATGCACTCATGTACGATAGCCAGTCAATTGCAAGATAACTATCACGTTATAGTATCATAGGATGTTCTAAACAGCGATCGATAGTTTGTGTACGATTCTTTTAAGATAAAATGAATAAAGAATGTATAAATACAAATAAAATCTAAAGAAAAACATTTAAAAGCTGTGTTAAAAATTTTACACAGTAATTTGAATTTTTATTGGTATTGTAAACCCCCTTTTTTTTGGCTTCTTTTAAAAATGCTTTTTACTTTTACAGGTGTAGATATATTTTTATCCGACACTGAACATGATTCAATATATTTTTGTTTAACAAGTTATTTCAACGTAACATGAAATCTAACGCTAATTAAATGTGCGAATCGCAGCCGACTTACGCAAAAAGAACGCGCGAAGATGTAAGTGGGAAGAGCATAAATGCAAACGTTCAAAGCGTGCCGATGCCCACGCGCGAAAATCCATCCGGAAATATCACTTTATATCCTTCACGTGATGGTGCAGAAATTAACTTTCCTCGCGTTCATACTGACGCATCAACTGCGAAAAGTTTTTCGTGATTTCGTACGTAATTGCGAATAAAACTATGTTTAAACTGGAGGATTTTCATTTGCTGCTTTTACAGAATTCAGTTTCAAACGAGTTTAGAAAATACCTACCGAGGTTTCGTATTTACATGATATTTTATATTATAAAATTAATTGAATACGATGTTTCGTACTTAATTAATTACTAAAAATGTTACAAAAAATTAATTTAATTTTCAACTTATTAATGAAAAAATATTATTGGTTATAGGTGAAGAGAAGCACAGATGTTTCGTTACATCAAAAAACAGAATGTACGTTTCACAATGTGTTTATTCTCAACTGTCCTGAAATAACAATAGCTTCTAATTGTTTTTATTAGCAATGATAGCTTATCTGACAGTTTATTTGATGTGGAGATTTTTGCGAAACATATGTTACAAGGATCGACATTGTACGCTTTGCTTTACTTTTAGAGATAAAATTTGACGGTATATTTGAGGAATTTTATGTTTAAAAATTTCTTCAAACGATATATGTTCGAAGTATGTTCTACGACATTCGTGAATGATTTCGCTGAAGGATTTGGTCGTAACAAATAAACAAATGAATAGTTTGTTGAATGATCGAACAAGACTTCCGTTCGGGTTCACAAACATTCGCGGTAGAGTGGCCACTTCAACGAAATCCCTCGTTTTCGTCCTTTAACGCTATAACATAGGAAGTCTACTTATCCTTGCTTTTGTTTATCTCTTCTTCCAAAGACTTCTTCTGCAGTAGATCTTACATGAAAAATACTTCAGCATGATGTTACAAAGCTTGAAAAATCTAGTTATTTGGAGAAACAAGCTCAATCACTTCAATGTTAAGAGATAGAAGCAAATTCGTTCGCAGTTATTTCTTCCATGTTGATACAGTAAAATAATTAGATACATAAGCAGCTTATATGCTTGTGAATCAAAAAATTTAAATTCGATTTAAATTCAGTTCAATTTAAATTTAAATTTTGAAAAATAACGCAAATTTCATACTAATGTTTGTCTAATCGAACATCTAATGGAACATGCTTCGTAAGAAAGAATATCATTTACGTTTCGTATTGAAAGCGTACACCACAGTGGAACGATTTCTTCGTCACTAGCGTGTATGTATCCATATGTAGAGATGCATGATAAGGGGATACTATTTAAGGGGTAAATATTTGAATAAATTATAAAAGAGATATACGCAGCGTAATATCGGTGGAACGTAAATTATAATTTTACTCGTTCGCTTGTAATTTAAGCCATCTCGGAAAGTAACCACTGTCTTATTATGGGGCGCATAACTGTCGTGTGCGACGGACAGGAAGTGAGCCGTAAAACCTATTTGTCGGCTTCTTACTCACTCTCCCCCTTAACCGTATCTCTTTCCTTTGTCAAAAGCTTCTAGCACTTAGATCCTTATCCAGATTACACAGGTCATTGTAAATTTATACAAAAAGATTTTAAAAAGTCAATAGTTAAATTCTGATTAATTCAGTTATTAAGGTGTGTATCCTTGAATTTATATTGAAAACGAAAACAATGTATTGAGCTTTGACGTTATGTAAGTACATTTTTAATGTACTGTACTGTGATTGATCATTGTTTTCATTCACCAAAGTGTTTTCAATTCTTTTTCCTTGGGATAAAAACGATTGACACTTAATTGGGTTGATTAAGGGGTACTTAGGATTAAAAGAAAAACGAAGAACGGAGCGTCAATAGTCTACCTAATAGTCTACCTAATCGTTGAAAAGAAAACGGTCGGATTCCAAAATTTCCAGAGACTCCCTACTGACGAAGCTTGAAACTGATCTGTAAATCTTCCTTTCAGGCTAGTGTGAATCTTTATTACTAAAAAGTATATTTCTTATGATAATAGTAATACTATCGTTTCTTTAATTTTCCAGATAATGATCGCTAGTTAAAAATGAATTAATTTTATGAAGCAAAACACTTTCATACCTGAATAGATAAATATGTATTACACATAGTTAATTTGTGAATACATAGGTTTTATATTTTTTACTAGTATTTTATAAGTATGTGTGCACTGTTTTAGAGAAGGGAAATATAAATAAATGTCGCGTTTATCTCTTAAGAGGAATAAGAAACGAAGAGAACCTGCGTGCATCTGTCCGTTTGCAAGAAAACATTTCGTTGTTAGATAAACTGTAAATTCCAGCAGAACGAATTTCTATCCGTTTTCGAAAACAGCTGCATCTCTTTACTGCAGTATTTTCTGGCTTTTTTTATTAGGATCTCTTCCTATTTTAAATGCTATATACAGGCAAAGTTTCCACTTACCCTTTTGGAAATTGTCTAACGATTCCCGTTTCAAGTGTTATATACTTACAACTTTCTTTTTTCTCAGATTCTTTTATAAAAAATACTTCGATTCTACTGGAAAATTTTCTCGTACTTTCACTTCCAAAACTCTCACTAAATTTAAATAAAAAAGAAATTGCTAAAAGAAGAAATAATAGAAAGTTAAAAAATGTTAGTCAGTAACACTCCAGCTTTAAAATCCAAGACTTAATTTTATTGTATGTATTCATTCTGTAGTTAAGGAATATCGTTTTCTAGAAAAATAAACAAATTAAGGAATACTATCTATTGACAAAATTCTGTACCGATCAGTACTCGACAAACATACTGTTCCCATCTAATGAATAGAAAATTTAATTGTCGGAACGATTACAACGACATAATTGAGAGACGTCATAAAAAAGGAGGACTACAGGCAGCCGGAGCTGTCAGGTAAAAGTGCGCGCGCGCGTTTTGTTGTGAGTATCGCTTACAGTTAATCTACAATCCGGAACCCATTTCAATGGTACGATGACCGGCGTCGTAGGTGGTGAGGGGACCATTTTTATGGTGAAGAAAAAGGCGAAGCGACGACAGGGGCAAGAACGGTGGTAGACGAGAGAAAAAGAGCGAGAAAAGCGTAGATTTGTATCTCGCGGCGCTCCGTTTCGTTCCGTTCCTCTTTGACCGCCGACGCACCGCAGACGGATTCTTGATTTTATCTTCTCGCCTCGTCTCGTCGCGAGACTCGAGAACAAACTATTAACGGCCGTCTGCTCGCCTGGATTCCGTAATTTATGGTGACGATTCCTCCGTTCTCTTGTACCTAACAACCCGGCGTGCATCGTTTCTTAATGCTATCGTGTGCTAACACAAGTGTGCGTAACTTGAACGTCTCAAACGCGCCGATTGACCGCGCAAATTAGACGCGCGATATTACGATTTCAACTCGCGCGTGACGTGCGATTTTTTTTTTCTTGCGAGAATTTTCGTTAAATGTTCTACGAATAGAATTGATCGGTTTAAGCGTTTAATTTCTTTGATTGTAGGATGATTCTTTTTTAAGAATAGCAAAGGTAATTTTTGTGACATTTCTTTATTATTTATCGTATAGTTAATACGTTGATGTCAATCAATTGAACGATACAGAAATCAAATTGATTTATTCAAGACGAGCATTAATCGAATGGAACTGATTTTAAATGATTTCGAATGATTTAACGCTATAACGATTGATTATTTTTAGAAACGATTTCCACGAAGAGCCGACAAGCTTTGTTAAGAATTTACAACTTGAAAGTCATATAACACGGCCATCGTTAAAAATCGTATATCACAATCACGTCACTCTCAGTCCGTGCAATATTAACAATTGTAAACAGTGAAAAAAGGTCTATTAGCCTACATTTTAAAAAGGATAATCCATTTCAAATAGATGGTCAAGCATGAAGAAGAGATTTAAGAAAAAATAGAAATATCTGACTGTTGTGCGCAATATATTTGGCGTTAATTTTGATTTACTATCTATTTCCGTGCTTCTTTTTTTATAAATTTCATTAATCTGCGATTGCATCGTGGGTGTTTCGATATATTTCGCAGCTACTTGTAGCCAAGTTGGAATTGCATCGACCAATAAGACCGGCGTGGGCGCGGCGCTTCTATAGTGGGGAGAAAGCATCGACCAATAACAGAAGGAACCATCGAATGCAAGCATGAATCGTTGCAACGGAGTCGTCTCTACAATTCCAAAGTGTATCCTCAGTCACTAGTAAGCTTCAACGAGGGAAGCTTCGAACGGATAGAAATTTGTACGAATTTTCGATGTTTTGGTGACATCGTGCGACTAAGTGATACGCAGCAGACAGAAACGAATTCGTTGATCGAAACATGAATTCGATGATGGTCGTGCCAATGGAATTGCAACTACAGCTGATGGAACATCAACAGATGCTTTACAGGCAGCAGGAGCTGGCTCTCCGAAAACACAGACCAGGTGTGTAAGATTTTTTTTATTTCTTCAAATTTTAAATTGTGATAAATGTAGGTTGATTCAGATATTGCTAATTAATGTCGAAACTTTGTTACACGTGTTGAATTTTAAATGTAGAATTTCTTTTCGATATTGTAAAAGTTTCCTGTTGCAGTTTGACGTTTGGTGTAGTTTTTAGAATCTTAATTTTTATTATCGTTAATCGTAAACAAATTTTATATATCTTGTTTCATTTTTTCTTTCTAGTTTTTAAATTAAATGCCTTTTTTTTTAAAATTAATTAATTAATTTTATAAATTCAACGAATTGTTATTTGATCATTGTCATTTGATTATTTCCGATATTCTTAGAAAGATCCATCCATTTATATTACTACTCAAATCTTATCTTATTTCAGACGCGTAATAAAAAAAAACATTCATTCCACACGTTTGTCTACGAACGGGTTATTTTTGTAACAACCAAAAATCAAACTCCAAAATTCCAATATTCAAACTCAAAATCAAACCAAAATTTCAATATCAAAAATGATTTCAATATAAATTCAAAAAATTCTCCTTGCCTCTCCATCCGATCTCGACACCGACCTCTCATAGCAATCTCTTCAATTGATCCAATTAAAGTCGCATGGAATGTAGTCGCGAACCTCTTAAACATCTCAGTCTTCGTCGTCGTTCACCTTCGTGTGTGATTCTTTGATTTTGTGGAGTCCCACGTGATGAGAAATGATGAAGAATACCCTGTCTGAAGAGTATACGTATAATGCGTGTTAAGTTTGCCCGCGGAGGCGACGTAGATTCGCGCGAGCTCTTCTAGGGGACAAGATGAAAGGCGCCGACTTTCGGTCGAGCGGACAATCGTTATCTGCGCTATACAACGGCCGTCCTCTCGGCAGGAAGAGAAAGAAGATGAACCGATGGCCGCAATTATCCTAGCCGGGGCCTAATACCTCGACCGCAGAACCGCGAGACAAGTGCAGGGCGAATCATTCATGCGGCCAAGCGATGACGCCCCTATAGATCTAGTTGGAAAAGGTGTTCTTTCTGGTATTCGAGTTACCTCATCCGCGCAATTTCTTGTCCCTCTTTCGCTCGACCAGTGTCTGGGCGGACAAGGTTACAAGGATAATGATTTAGTAGAAGATTTTACTGTTTTCATCTTCTTTTTTCTTTTCCGCCTTTCTTTTTGCGTGAACGGTTCGTTTCGTTTCTGTCGCCGCGAAAATATTGTCCTTCTGTTTGATTTGTCGGCAATGGTGTTGCATCGGTTATTCGTTTTTTTTTTTTTTATCTCTTACGAGAGTCATGGTTCTGTAGATTCACAGGAGATCTGGTTGGAAGTGTCTCCGGTTGGATTCCGGTTAGGAACGATTACAATTAAAAAAATAATATGTCAAAGAAAATACATTTTAGAAGTCTGGTGTGATTTATTTAAGAAATGAGAAATAAATTAAGTAGAAATTAATAAGAATTTTATTTGAACATTGTTTTAGAGGACATGCCGAATCTATCGGTACCAAATTTCAGGGGAGGACCTCCTCTGTCTCCAGATGTAAATGTTGAATTGCAAAATCGGGAATTGTGGCAGAAATTTCACACGGAAACCACAGAAATGGTTATTACAAAAGGAGGCCGGTAAGCCTGCAAGCTATAATTTAATATTTATGTTTCAAATGTGTGATTCTGGTAAAAGTTTGCTTATTATATATTTAGATATTTTTTTAACCCTTTGCCTTCGAAAACTTTTTTTGCACGTATCATCTATCAACAATTTATTCACGAAGCATCATCACTTCAAATAAAATGATACAACATTGGAAATAATCATTCAAAATGGTATTTAACGAAATTTTGTGGATCATATCTTTCCAACATGTGATATCGTTTAAATTGAAAGCAATCATCAACGTGCATTGCGGGTTTGCTTGACCAAGTATAATATATACAAGAGTTAATGATACACAGCTTAAATCTCTGGAAAAATAATATTCTCCACTATTTTTTAAACTATCGTAAGAAGCAACAAGAAGTCTAGTTTATATGCATTATTTTAATGAGTGTCAATTGATTCAGGATTGTCTTCAGAAATTTCTTCTTCTGAAATTCTTTTGTTTTTCTTACGTCGTTATATTGTAGCTTTCACTCTAGGCGTCTGTTCAGATAATACACTATTGTACATCGCATCATACAACACCAAATGTATACGTTTGTTATGATTATAAAAAGAGGAAGTCCGAGCTGTTAGCTAGATTTAGATAGGATGTCCCCTCAGAAGGGATAGTCGAGTGTAAAAGGTTAAAATATTTCTACATACGAACGTTAAATTAATTTAACAATTATTATCGAAAGTGAGAACGAAGGTGTAACAACAGTGCCTTCTTTTCTTACCACGCGTTAGCGAAACTTTTTACTATGAATTCCACTGGGGTTGGAACGGTCTGTTAGGCGCCATGAGACCACACCCTCTGTCGCTTCTAAAATCCTTACTGTCTGTCTCCACCTGAAAAAATGCGACCCTCGATTGTTTCCGCGGTTTTCACTTCTTAACCAATGTTTTTTTGTTCGTTTTCGTTTTACTTCCCTTTGTAAATCACATAATCTCCGAGCATTAACTGTTCTAAGCAGTTAGTATTTATATATCGAGTACAAGTTTCTCTGAGCTTGAGATTGTATTGAAATGTATATCTTGTGTATGCCAGATTCAACTACAATAAACTTTCAATATTGGTCATCATCCATCAATTCAAATGACCGAAGTTTGATGATGTTATACACATAGTTTATGTCATACGCGTCGTTTCTTCTCAGAATAGGCAAGTAGACGCTTTTAAGAAGAGGCACTTTCAAATGACGACAGAGCGATTAGTTTCACGGAAGGTGGTCGAGAGAGGTCGTAAAAGTAAGGTTCGCAAAGTAACGACGTGTTCGCGTTTATCGATGACACCGATCTCCGAATCATTCTATGAAGGTAGATTTTGCGGAAAAAGTCGTATAGACCGGACGGATGCAGGACAAATCACGACTTCCGGCCGGAAACGATCGAGCTACCGGTTACTCCTTTTCAGATACGCGGGCGTAGCTACGTATCTATGATAAGATTACTAAGAATTTCGCGTTGTCTCTCGCGCTAGATAACTCGCTGATGTCAGTCAGATGGCTTCGTTTCGTGAACACGGAAATCAAAGGGGAGGGAAACGCCAACGTGATGTGAACGCGACAAGATTCTTCAAATATTTCGTAACGTCCGTTCATCTTCTGACATTTACGCGTTACGGAATACAAATAAGTTTTCTTTGCCTTTACGTATGCGCGCGAAATTTATCTCGAATTTAATCAAATGCGGCACGATAGATTTAAGCGGATAACTTTTGATATCAAAGGTCACTTGGACAAATTTTTCTTAAATTAAAACCTTCAAGTTTTCTATCTGGGGATCCTTAATCCTTATAAAAACGTAACTAATTCAGAATTTCAATTTCGAAGGTACAACGATGATACATTCGCGAACACGAATTCTTCTTGTTCGAATTATTTTCATTTGAGTGAGAAGTCGTAAATGGCAAGCACAATCAAGATAGTGAATTCCTATACATATGTGAACATTTCGTTTTTTGACAGAGTTTAGATAAATAAAGTTATCTTTCCACAATCGAGGTGGGCACGTTGTTTCAAAGATTCGGTTCTGCCTTCTATCGTGAGAAGCAACATTTCACGAATAAACAAGATAAAAGAAACGACTAGTCACCGACGTGATTCGTGGGCGGTCTAGGTTTGAACAATAGTTACGAAGGTGTTTGTCCATCCACATATTCGTGCCTTCCGGTCCAGCTACAATTCTTCCGCAGCGAAAACACCACGTGCCAACCATGTGTATCCCGTTTCAGACCTTCGATGTCTGACCAATCAGTATTCCGTGACACGATCGACTCGTTTGTTCTCCTCGTTCCCTTTTAGCGGCTCCTCGATTGCAGTTCTCGTTTTGTTCTTTACGATCGGCATCCTCTTTCCTATCTTTGGCGTCTTTGCATCACAGCCAATGAATAGGTTCACGGAGAAAATGTGCGTTGCAGAAATGCAATCCTGATGTCTTGTTCGCCTTTGCTCTTTCGCATTCTCCCCCATAAAACGATAAACTGTTCTTTCAAAGCGGAAATAATTACTTTCACGCTTTGCCATTGATTCGCTGCATTTTTTTGGAGTTCACGAGCTCATGGTCGACATTTGTCGGGGTTCAATGAAGTCTTAATTAACAAGTGGTATAGTAATTTTAGTAATGTTGGATTACTAAAATTTAGGGTATTCGACCTAGGCTAGTTTATATTCTTCCTGATAGAGATTAATAGACTGCGGATTTTTATGCAAATTAGTACTTTGTGATAGAGGTTTGTTTCATCTGTTAAATATCGCAGTTTTGGATACTTTATATATTTTTGTGTATTGCATGCATTCTATCTATGCTTTTTAGCACGTTCAAATTTCCCTTAAATGCATAAAAATCCACGGTCTAGAGATTGGTAACAGAATGAAATGACATAAAATATTCCAAAGTTAAACAATTTATCTTCAGATCATTACGTTTCTAATAGAATCTAATGATACAGTAATAGGTTTTTTTGGAATATTTGTAACTAGTTTTCAAGCAGATTGCGAATATTGATGCAAGTTTCTATCTCGGTGAACGAAAGAATCTAATTTACACGGAGAACGTAAAATAAAATGAAATAAAGTATGTTTTGAAAGTTACTTTTTTCCGGTGTCTTCACGAAACTTCAGTTTAAGAAATTGATTAAACAAAAAAAAAAAACCCGAATCGATTGCGTGAGCGAAAATGTATTTATAATTTGAGCTGCCGTTCAAGTACGAAGACTAACAATGTTTAAATCGTGCCACGTGACTTTTCGATTCATCTGATCAACGAGATGAAAGAAAAGCGAGGCGCGTGCTGCCGTTCTGCACGCGTTATTGTATCGCGCTATTAACGGCATTATCTTCTTGTTCGATAACGTCGAGGGGCTTTTTAAAAGGACCAGACGTTCAAATCATCGGCGCACGGGTCTTCCAGCAGACGTCGCGACGACGTAATCCTCCACTTATAAGGGCGCCACTTTTAGTGGATTCAACAACGTGCAGCATAGTGTCGATCTTGGAGATATATAACTTCGTACCTCCTAAATGAACACTAAAAGATCAAGTATTTCACTATTTTATGCAATTCGAATTCAGTTCATGAATAATCGTCAAGTAACGATGATCCTCGTGATAGTTATAACTTCCAGATTTCACGATTGCAGAAACTTGGAAAATTTTCCGTTGTTAATCATGTTCAATCTATGCACTTCAGTATTCTTCACTATCTGTATTCCATAACTTGGGTTCATCAAGGACGGTGACGATTTTACACGATTCTTCACTTAAGGCTTCAAATATGCTTCGAATGTGAAGGACTCGAATAGATACTAATTTCGAAAGTGGATACAGGTTGTGGATTTTTCCACTGCTAATTGCGTCCATTAGTTCAGATACATATCCTCTCGTAAGTTAAACTTTTAAATGGAAACGGAACAGTCAGGTAGATGCTGTAATTGAAAGTGAAAACGTAAGTGCTTTCGCTAATCTGTACATCGATGTATATGTACATATGAGGTTCAAAATTTATTAAATTCCTTTGATAGTTTCACAACGAAGGAACATGACTGTTATAATTGAAAATAACTTCTTTATATTACAAAAATAATAGCGTTTATCTTCTGTCCGGTAGAAGTAAATAAAAGAAACAAACGAGTAAAATGGCGGTTGAAAATCCGTAATTGAATATGCTAACCGTCCGAACCACCGTAGATTGATTCTTTGTGGTTTACTCACGGGATTATCTGCGAGTTTGAAATGTTTACACGAGGGGAAAACCTTACAGTTGGGATCGAGAGATAGTAGAAGCTCTTAAAGAGTCGCAGGAAGTAACAGTTCGAGTCTTTGGTTCGGCGACGCCCACTCGTCGCTGGCACGTTAATGACTGGGAATTTCTTGTCCTTTCGTTTTCTCTTGTAGTTTGCTTACGTTACCTGTGCGCAAAAAGCACATTTGACTCATCGTGAATGACGCCGGGAAACTAACAAGTCTGTTCTTTTCGAGGCACTTATGGGACTAGTGAAACAGGTTTGCCGTTAATAATTGGTTGATTTTGGTCTTTTGGAGTCCATTCAGGTAATGCTCGAAATATGAGAACAAAGCTTCAATGAGATTGTTAAATAGAAAATGATGTCACAGTGACGTGGATTTGTTGTATACTCCTTTGTTAATGTCAAAAAAAACTTCCGATAATTTTAGCAAATACTTGAGTGCTCGTTAAAACTGCTTTTAGCAAACGAGTAATTTTTCGAGAAGTTCCAATTTATTAAACAAAATTTATGATTCGCAGAAGAATGTTCCCGTTGATTCAGTTGAAGATCACGGGATTAGAGCGTCGCTCTCGTTATTACGTTCTCCTGGAAATGGAGCCGGCGTCCGATCGTCGACACAAGTACGTCGGATGTGGTGGCGGTTTGAAGAAAACTTGCGGGAACGCAAAATGGTCGTCTGCCGGTCCAGCGGAAACACAGCCACGAATCGATCGAAGGATTTACCTGCATCCGGATAGTCCGGCGACCGGTGCGCACTGGATGCAGCAGTCGCTTAAGTTCGATAAATTGAAGCTGACTAACAACGTCGCCGACCCCAAAAATAACGTGAGTATCTTTTCTTACCTGTTAATAATTTCATATCATTGAATAAAAAAGTTTAAGCAGTATTTCTGTGACAAATGATTACGCAGAACCTTTTCATTGTGCAGTTGATTTTTTAAACACACATTTATTGACAGAAAGTTAAGGAAGTTAATTGCCGAAAATGTTGGTCCATATCCTTATTTTTTGATTGAAGAAAGATCTATCGAGAGAAAAGACTTAACGGAAATGCGGAAAGGAAAACGGTAGCGTGCATTTATCTAGATGTCCCGTGTTTGGACAGGCCAGCGTGTCCTTAAACGCGCTTCATCTTTTTCTTTCTTTGCGCGTTTCTGGTTTAGGCTTATGGTTTGCCTCCTCGCTCGAGTCGCATGCGGGAGGTCGCCACACACGGATCCACCCTCTTCACTACTTGTTTCACTTCCGATTAGGGCCTACTGAGAAAAAAAGAGAACCTCCAGTTAGAGAATTCCAGAGCGATACTTCGTTCTCCGCCAATTAGCTCCTAAACTTCTTTCCACGTACCGATATTTGTTTCTTTTTAACGACGATATTTCTACCATCCTTTATATTGATAAAAAATTTTATCCTGTCATGGATACTCCTTTTTCTAATTATTCTTTTTTGTGATGTACTGATATTATTCTGTACTCTATTAAATACTATGGTAATGCTTGCGCTTTAAATTTTTCCATTTTTATTGACTTCAATTTCATCTTTTTTTTATTCTAACTTCATTTGCCAAATCACAGACGCGAAATTATTAACGTTCGACAGATCTGTATTCAGCCAGACGTATTTTGTTTCTCCTGGCCGCGAATCACAGCATTTTCCTAATTAGTTCAGCTAAATAACAGGGTACACCCTCTTAACCAGGTAAGGTAATCAAACTACGTTCCTGACACCACTGTAGTCGGGATTAAAATCTTGGAAAGGAAAAGGGCAGACGCCGCATGCATGTACCGTCTTGAGATTTAAGCTACTCAAACTGGCTGCTGGGTACGTACGTCGGTTTCAGTCGTTGTTCGTGAAGAACGAAGATTAACACGCTCCACGACACCCTGTAATCGATATACCTTCCTTTCTCTCGGCAAGTGAGTTTGTTTATGCCTCGACAGGATGAATCCTGGCAGCTGGCTCGTTCATGGCGCCCCCTTGCCAGTTCTTTCATTTTTTCACTAATATCCTGGAAATTATTTCTGCGGATCTGCGTCGCCTCGAGTACCTGAAAAAGTTCCTCCTGCACGCGGAGACTGGTCGGTTCTTCAAAGTTCCATCCTTGGATCTATTAACCTTGCTGCGTTAATTCGATCTGTTATTTTTGATCGATTTACATTTTCCTGACATCAAAGAATATATCTCAAGTTTAAACAGAAAAGATTCGTATCGACATGTATCATTTCTAAGTTTTTAAACTTCTTAAAATATTAGATATAATCCTTCGTTTCTTTTTATTTGTTAAAGTTCCTTTTAAATTACAATAGAAAAGTTCGATCGTAAATACGATCGTAATTTGTGCCATTTCGCATTTAATAAATATCAATAGATTATTTTCAACTCTGCTTCGTCGCGAAGAAAATCTTGAATTGGAAAGAAATAAATCAGTGATCGGTGATCACTTGGAAATTAAGAAACAGAGACGTAGTAATCGTAAAATTAAAATTTAACGTTACGTCGAGCAATCGAAGTGTTAGTACTGGTAGCCTCCTGGTTTATGAAGGATTTTGGATAGGTCGAGAGCGTGTGATTCCGAGAAGGTTGAAGGGCCAGTCTGGTTTTCGAGAATCGCGTCTGTCTCCAGCGTTGTCGGCATCCTTAGTAAGGCGCCAACTTATCTCGACAAAGCGGCGCCCTTTTAGCCGATTCTTCAAACTAATTACGAATTTAATAAAATTCTGCCCGCTGCAAGCCAGTCGAATGAAGGGAATCCCTTCTTCTTCGCGAATAAAAAAGCGGGAATCTATCCACCAGCGTTTGCGCTGTTCTTGCTATTATGACGTGTAATATTTTCGATAATAATATTTTCAATAATTTATTTTTTAATGTACGAAATACAATTTTTGTATTTCTCCATTTTAATAAATATGCAAAATTTTGTTTACAGATTGTTTTATTATCTATGCATAAGTACGTTCCACGGATTTGGATCATTTGTTGCGATAAAGCAATCAGATTGTGCGATCTATTTTCTTATCCAGCCTCGTCATTCAAGTTCAACGAAACGGAGTTCATTGCTGTAACTGCTTATCAAGTAAAGTCAATTTACATAAATTTCTACAATACTCCTGTATTATTTTATAAAATTCTAAACTAACAATAACTCTTAAACTATATAATTTCAGTACACAATCAACTCAATAATTTTCCAATTGAGTCATTGATATTCACAACGTAAATTTTTTAAACATATTTTTATACGTCTCGCTTTCAGAACGAGAATATAACACAACTAAAAATCAATAACAATCCATTCGCCAAAGGATTTCGCGATTCTGGTCAATCACGATGCAAAAGAAAGCTCCAAGAAGAAAGGGAGAAATCGAACCACGTTGATGACGATAATGGGAACGCGTCTTTGGAACGAGAGTCAAATAGATCTTTGACTCACGTGGACAATCAAAGACCAACAACAGCTTCCAGTGAAACAGGAAGTTTAGATGACAGCGGTGTCAGTAGTTGTGAAGAAACTAGTCCTCTTCCCTCAACGGTTCGTCGAAATTCGCTATCTGGAGATGTCGATCGTCACGTACAACCAAAATTACATAGACCTTGGATTGATTCTTCTCCACAATATTCGTCTTCCACGATGGCTACCTCGTTCTCGGATTTGTTGCCTGTTTCTAATTTTCCTGCCTATCTTCAACTATTTTATCCTGTGGCAATGCAATCGAATTTCGCAAAGTTACCCTATCAATCGATGGTACAATTTTCGAGATATCATTATAAATAATTTCTGTAGAACAGATCTCTGTAAAATAATAATAGTGGAACAATTTGTTGACTATTTAAAAGAAAAGTAGAGGATTTAGAAGATTTTGAGAAGAGAAGGTGAACGATGTGAAGTAAGGACAATAAAACCAAAGATTTTTTTCAATGTAGGAAGAAAAATTCAACTTTCTCCGAAGTTGTATAATTTTCAATGTAGGAAGAAAAATTCAACAAAAATTCTCCGAAGTTGTATAATTTTGGTTAATAGTTTATTGTAGATTATATATCATTGGGATAGAACTTTAATAGAGTTTTGTAAAAATGTAAAAAAGAACTACGCTTGTCGTATGTGTACAGATTGTTACCAAAAAGAAAAAAAATTGAAGAAAAATCATAATCTTTCTCAGATGTAAATAATGAGATACAGTTAAATTTTCATCTAGATTTTCGTGAAATTATTGATAAAGGACCAAAGATATTTTGAATAAAGTTTTTTTAATGTAGAAAAATTCTATGTTAAACATTTTCTTGAATTTTTTTCTTTATATACCAACAAAAATCAATATTTTCTAAAAGAAGAAAGATTTACATTATTCAAATGAGGACAAGTATTAGAAAAATAAGTGCCTAATATAACTGCGAATAATATTCGCGAATATGACTGCAAATAAGTACAATTTAATGCCTCACATATAATTATTATTGTTAGTAAAAACATGTGATTGTTTGAGATACTTTAAATGTTATGCATGCGGGGAAGTGGAGTTTGCCAGTATTACGTTATATTACCTTTTACATAATTATTAATTAAGCGAAATTGTCTACTTGTGCATGCTATATATTTTTATCTCTAGATTTTGTACACTACGTTTCTAGAAATGCCAAAATATTTTTACTAATAATATTGTTACTTAAGATTCATAGTTTGATCATAATTGATCAATGACTTTTGTACTGTGCGTCATCGTAATAAATTACTTTTTATATAAAATGTTACGTTAAGTTATATTTTTTTTTATATCGTTTTAAAAATTATTACCTACTATTTTATATATAATTATTTTATTAACAACATAATAATTAAACACAATTTTAAATAACCCTAAATCTACAAAATCTTCTACAAAATTCTATCAAAAATTGCTTCAATATCCTATTAAGTTAAAGTAGCTACTCTATAACTCTATAATTCCTATAAATTCTACGCTATAAATTTCCAGTTGAAATAATTTATAATTTTACTTACTTCATAATTCATTACTTCATAATTCTTTCGCAGGTGAAAAAAAGAAGAAGAAACGCTGATTTGTAATTCAGAGAATCAAATCAAGTGTTTTATGTGAAACAAGATAGCCTTGTAATCAGTCAATATCTCTCATCAGACACGGAAGTCTAGGTAGAAAGACATTTTGATAGCCGATTAGGCAAATTTCGTAAACTTGAGAGGCAAATTTCATAAACTTGAGAGGCAAATTTCATAAACTGGTACTCAAGAGGAAGTGTCTGTAGAGACACGAGTTCTTATTGTCGAGGATTGTGTCGCGTCTATGTGTCGCCTTTCCAAAGATCCCGGCAACTTCTGGTATCGGTGTCTCCTGAAACACTTTTGAACCAGAGGGGCGCCGGTTTGTCGCCTACTCTACCATGTCTGGATTTGTCGATGAGCTTCCGTACCATCTCTTCTCGATGCGCTCTTTTTTTTCTCTCTCTTTTTCTTTCTTTCGAGTTTGCCTGCGAAATCGCTCGAGCATTGTGCATGTTCAACTGCACTTGTGCATCGTGAGAATGTCGAGCACTTTGCCATCGTAATGAGGGCCAGAAGTCGGTCGGAAGCTTATTGTTAATAGTAATAGTACAAAAACAGATAGTTTCTTGTGTTTTCTAGCGAATGGTTTCTGATGGTAGTTTGAAGTATGTTTTTTTAAGAATAGAGTTTGAAATTCGAAATGCTCAGTTTTGTATTTTTATTTATTTTTATTTATTTGTTTTATTTTTTATTTAGCTCTTGCATGTTTTATATTACATATTATACAGTGCTGTTCAGTGTGAATTATACTTGTTTAAATATTTGTCTCTTATGAATTTAATTGTACTTTGTTACATTGTTATGCTATTTTTTTCTTTTTAAACACAGTTGATTTAAAGATTATTTTTGTTTTCTATTTCACTTATTAGACAAATATTTCTTTCATTTCTTAGGATAGAATCCTAAAGATCTTAGAACTTTTTTCTATTAAATTATTAATACAAAAATTTGAACAAAAATGATAAGATTTGCTGAAATGATAATTTGAATATCTATTATTTGAATATATAGCAAGATGAAGATAGTATCTTTAATAATACTAAGTAATCAGAATAGTGTAAATGATATACGAATATTTCTTATGAACTTTCTTTATTCTTTGCACTTTAATTCCTCCGATAAAAATTTTATGTCTTTTCGAAACGCCTTTAAAAAATTACCATCTTTTCTTTTACATTTGTACGTACGTAATAAACGTATCTTTTTGTTGCAGAATTGCTTATCGCTGTTCCAACGTGCAAATCATCGGAATAGTCGATTGCATAACGGCGCTCTACGATCGAAAAAAGGCTGTTACCTGTTCGTTGGACATTGTCGTGAATACATTTATAAAAGTTCAGTAGAACGGTTAACGGGATTGATAGGTCACGAGCGTAACATTTTTCCGGACGTATCACGTTTGAATACGTAATCACATTCCAGAATCGGACTACACGCGTTGCGATACCGTACGAAAATCGATTTGTCTTCAAGCACCTGTATGTTTCATCGATTAAGGAACGAGTAAGTTTAATCTAGATACAGTTTACGTTCATCCTGATATCAATGAATTTAAAACACACGACATATTTACGCTCCGTATTTGCAAGTGATTTTGACTCGGTCATTTTTCACTATATAAGTGTTCATCACGTTTTTTTTTTAACTAAATTTTTTTAACTAAAAATCTTTCCAATGCAATTTCTCCTTTCAATTTGTTGAATTATTTTATACAAGACTTTCCTTTAACTTTATTAACACCAGATTGTCCCTTAACTAGACTCTGATATAATCATGTCGTTAAAAGTTAATAGCGTAATCAACCGTAAGTCTTGATATGATATAATCCAGAAATGAAAGGAGGTAAAAGATACGCTAATCAGTTTTTATACAAACAGGAAAATATAAAACGGTATTTTTCCAACCACGTTGATCATCAATGCTTTTGAATTAATTCGTTTCATTCTATATTACTTACTTCGTGTTTTATGTACAGTCTTGTATGTTCCACTTTTCCTACAACTTTCGCGATTCTGTCACTAAAACGTGACAGATTTATCCTCGTGTACGCAGCATCTCTCGTCGCCGCGTCCGTTATTATACTTAGGACAATACGGTGGATGTTTGTTGGTGAAGCAAAAAGAGCCCCTAGTTCCGACCGGCGTATGCTGGCCCATGGCTACGTATTCGCCGGCCCTGAGAGCAATTCTTGGCCCAGAAGGACACCTTCTTGAACATGGCTCGGCCATCGACTTCTGTCCGCTGTTATCGATGCTCTGGGCCATGTAACAGACAACCCAAACGTGACTGCACAGCTGATAATTCGAGGTATTCTCGCAAAACGGCTGCATTTTGCCACCGTTCACGCAGAAATCCACGTGTCCCATGCGACCACCTTCTCCGTAGTATCCTGCGTTCGTATGAATCACTTGGACGAAATCTGCGTCCCCGCTGTCCAGACGATTTACATATCCAGGACGTAGGAGAGGTCTGGCCGGATCTAGACCGATTATCCGATGCATCCTGAACAGTAGAAAGTTCGCCATGATTCCACAGATGTGTGCACCCAACGAATGTCCCACGCAGGTTGTTCTCGAGATGGGTAAACCCAGGTTTCGCAAAGTGGTCAGTGTGCCTGCCAAACAACGTGCAACTGAGCGAAGATTTGATACAGCTGCTGGGTAACAGGGTGGAGCGCACAAAGCACCCCAATCGACTAGGAACACGTTGTAACTTCCGTTTCTGAGGTAGGCATCACGAAGTACGGATATGGGGAGGGTGTCGTCACCACCTGAAAGAAGAAACAGAAAATTGTGTCAGAATTTATGAATTTATTTAAATTTTCTAGTAGAAGAATAATATCTGAATATTGGAGAAAATGGAACGTAAGTACTTAGGAAGTTACTTTACTTATTAATTATTATGAGAAGTGTGCGTATTTGCATTTTCAAATTTCTCATAAAAATTTGCAGTCCATTAATAATGCAATGATATAATATTTAGCAGATCTAATAATCTGGAAATCTGAAAAAATCTTTATTAAGTTTCCACGACAATCTAATTTCGATATCAAATTAATAACACTCAATCAGATACCATAAATTATATCAAACAAGAAATAAAGTTCGATTGAAACGCTCCAAGGAGTATCACCACGATTTTCCTCGTTGCATCGAGAACTCGATTCGATTCGATTAAATAAGAATGAACCTGCGTATCCATGTATCAGAAGGACATTTTCCTTGATCGGGTCGTAATCTTGCCGCAACCAGTCGGACTCCCTCGAGTCAAGTTCACGCCTTGGTCGATCGGACGTATAAAGGTAGACTTTGACATCAGGATCGGGGCACGAATCTTTGTCATTTCCTCGTCTCCAGATGCAATCTTTTCGATCGTATTGCGCCGCGACACCATTTTGAATCGCCTCTTGAATGGGACCGCGCGGTTCTTTGATCGCAGTTGCAAAAATTTCGACAGAGAACACTGTGAACAGGAAGACCGATGATCTCAATGTTGACACTCGCATTCTTGCGATGCCAGAGCGTTTAATCGTGATCACAGCGACAGGAGAACTGACTGAGTGCACGGTAATTCTTCGAGTGTCGTCCTGTCCTTCGAACTCCCACCTGTCTCATCTGACGATTCTTGTTAGACAATAAGGGAATGAGTGGAAGGGATGGAACAGCGAGTTTAATCTGTGTCATCGATATGAGAAATATGAGAACTACAAATAAGAATGTCGACGTTTCCTGTGTATTTTGGCGGAGTCACTTTCGATACAGCGTGGCATGTCGTAAGGCTATAATGAGTATGGTAATTTTCGGTGAATTGAATAGAGATCGTACGGTGAACTTGGGACTATATGTGAGTAGAGAAACCTGTTTTCTTCCTAACCGTCGTTTACTAGGTAGCACGTGTTCGGAGATTGTTATGATTAGTATCTTCGGATACATGAACAACTGAAATTATTCACGGACTATGCATGGAAAGACTATGAAAGGAAATTTCAAGAACTTGCTTAATGTCTTTATATTATTATTAGACTGCAGATTTTTATGCAAATCTATATTTTTGGAAAAATATTGAAAGAGCAGAGGTTTGATTCATTTATTAAATATTATAACAAGTACTACATTTTGAATATTTTAGATATTTTCGTGCGTAAATCCAGTGATTAGTTATCTTTGTCAGGATTTTATAATTTTATGAAATTTAATAAAAATGAAGTATTTATAATGTTATCTACGATCAATTCTTACTTGCTCTTTGATAGTTCAATTTGTCTTCATTTTCATCTTTTACACGAATACTTGTTTTTTTTACTGCTGTTCATTTTTTAAAGTGATTATTATATATTTTTGCAATCAGCTATTTTAGTATAAAAAAGTGGACTGAAATCAATTATTATCAGAAAACGACAGAACATAAAGGCAGCAAAGTAGATCGAGCGCGTGTTTTAGCCCTCTTTCTTTGAATTACTAAAGTTTTGAGAATTGGGCAAGATGTGTCCGCGTATGTGTTTCATCGAAAGTTGCGAAAGTGCATCAGCATACTTTTAGAAATTCCGATGAGTGAAAATTTGGCACCATGACTGGTATTGAAATCATTTCGGTATTCTTCCTTTGTTTATCGGCAACGCAGACTAATTGAAACACAAACAGAGCTCCAGTGAACGAGCGCTTTCCTTTCGTCTTGTGAAATGTTTCTTTTGAAACAGGATGATAATAATGTCTAATATTGACGGCAAAGAAAAAAGAAGAAAGTTTGCTGAGAAATAATTGACTATGCAAATTAGGACACCGGCAGAAAGCGTGGAAAATATATCTAATATCGGTTCACTAAGATTTTCAGTGAAAATTAATAAGAATCTGTAAGGTAATAATGTATTTACAATTAGTGCCAGAACATTTGCCGTCGATGTATTATCGTTTAAATAATAAAGTTCCATTTCATTCGTAACACTATAAGTATTGCAGGAAATATTTTATAATGGAATGTGAAATATTAGCAGAAAGTGTGAAAAATTGATGTTTCGTTTTAATTAAGACATTTCACGTTTCATCAGTATATCTTGTTTTTACTTTCGTATGCTCCTAATTCTTATACTGTTACGTAAGAAATTTGTGATATTTGAAAAGGAAGTATGTTGCATAATATATCTAAAACAGATGAAAACGAGATCAGCTAATACAATTGAAAGTTATCATTATTTAAGAAGGAAGTCGAAGAGAATTCTATGTCTGAAAGAAAAAATAAAAAAGAGAGATTGTTAAAAAAATGCATTCTTTTTTTCTTAAAGAATATAGTGCAAATACATTATACATTGCCTTTACATTAAATTGTAAATGAAAAATGGAAAGTAACAAAATATTGCAGATAATTGGATAGATCAAGGATTGCTTGGTTTAGCACCTTGTATGCATACTAAATTAGATCTTGATATCCTAGAACATTAAACGTTATAAATATAATTTATAAAGTCAAAGTTTATAAAGCGATTTATACATTGGAAGAAATTTCCAATAAGAGTCTTCAATTCCTCAAGTTCTTTATGTAATTTTTTTTTCTATTCAATCATGATTTTATCTGTTATTTTTTAATTATTATTTTTATACTTTTGTTCTTTTGTCAATTTGTATAAAATATCGTGATATTTATATAGGATATTTATTAGAATATTACTCAGAGAATTACTGTGTAAAGAGAAAGTTCCTAATTCTGTTAGTTCATAGACTGACAATGAGTGAAAGAATTATTGTCTCATTTAAAATATGAAATATGAAGTAATTTGAAGTAAAGAAAATTGTACGTAGGTAAGTAAAAGGTAGTATTTTCAAAATTTCTTTCGTGTGAAAAGTACATATATTCTATGAATGGATTCTATTATGTACGTGGAATCAATGTCAATACTTGCTTTATTATAGCTACCTTTTATTACATCTTTTGTTATTGTTAAAGTAGTTTAAGCGAAATTTATGATTTTATTATCATATTTTATTATATTAATGATGACAGTTCTCGGCTAAATTAGCTTGAAAAGCTGGCCAAAAACATTTTCTTGAATTGTGGCAAATGTTTAATTTATTATTTGCAATATATCAATAAAAATACCGTAAAACTTGCGGTACTATTTATATATACGTTAGTCATAGTATTGTAACAAAGACAATAAGTGACTAAATAAAGATTCAAATCCAAAACTTATTATACATGTATACACTATGTCTACAAATAATTCTGATCCAAATTTCAAATATATTTTTTGAAAAATTAAATATTAATGAGCATGAATGATCCAATTCGATCATTCGATCCAATAAATAAAATTTTTGAATCCTTATTTATGCATTTGAATAGGTGAATGAGACATAGGAAGAAAGGTGAAAGACTAATTTCGAAGATGCAATTGAAATAGTTTACAAATTAATCCTCTTAATTATTTGTTTTTGCAAATGAAAATATAGTTGATCGATTTATGGACATTCAAATGTTAGCGCCGCGTAGCGGTGAAACAGCAGAACTAAAATCTACTACTATCCTTATCGCATAATAGTGTACTCTTTGTTTAGTAGGAGAAATATATCTATCCTTGTTGCTTGCTGTTGCTATCCTTGTTTGTGAGATGCCATCTATCCAGCGCATTTTGAACTAATGAGAAGAACAATGTGCTGCCATCTATACAATTTTTCTATTTTATTCTATTAATTCGTCTTCAACGAGGTATGTACATATACGAATAGTACAAACATATGTATGTATTTTACTATATTTTCTATTCGTTTCTTAATTCTTTAATTGCGCAAAGAAAATTTTTAATTTTTGAAAAGAAAAGTATTCTTACTTCCACACTTGCTGCATAATGTAAAAATAAATATACTCGAAATACTATTTAAACGAAATAAACTCAAGATGGGGTTAAAGTGGAGAGTTTTATCTTCAAAATAAAATCAAGTTAATTCTTTTACAATTTTTTTTCAACAGTTTAAAGTATTGACAATTTTTCATCTAGTGTATGAATATTTTCGTTCTTCTTTAAGAATTTTTCATAAATTTTGTGTATTTGATTTTGATCAGAGTTTTTTATTTTTTATTCCACGTTAACAAATCGCCACACGCGCATTGGATTTAAATTAGTTAAAGATTACAGCGCCACTATACGGTGAAATAAGCAATACATTTTCTATGATTCTTGAACGTAATTGATATTTCTCATAATCGATTTTTAACCAAGAAGGAAGGAAGCTCACCTCACTTATAAAGAAGGAAACGTTCCAGAAAAATCATCCAGAAATAAGTGTCATTCAGAAGTTCTTAGGCAAAAATCTAAATCAAATGTTAGATTTGAGTTTGTGGAATTTTAAGATAAAACGTGCATTTTTGGTTTCAACTCAAGGTGAGATTTAACCAAATAATCATTACATGTAATTTTCAACAATTAAAGAAATAATAGGATATAAACATTTAAACAGGACATACCATGCTAAAAATTATTTATAATTTCATGCCAAAATTTAATTTCAATTATAATCAGTACAGATATTGTCTAGCTTGTAATATGACTAGCTTTTTATTATATATACATATGTTACATATATACATAATACATAATATGTTACGTATATACATAATATGTTTTTACTTTATTGTAACATTTTCTATTCATTTGTTGATTTTTTTAACCTCATACTGTGTAATTCTTAACAATTCTAATACTAAATTTAACTGTAATTTATTAAGGATATACGTATTTAATGGCTAAAATTGAATATTTTCGTTCTTTTTTAAGAATTTTTCATGAGTTTTGTGTATTTAATTTAGGCTAGAGTTTTTTATTTTTTATTCCCAGTTAACATTTCGTGCGAAACGTGCGATTGCAGCGCCCCAACGGTGAAATATGCACTTCTTGCGATTCTCAAATCGATATTTCTCACGATCGATTTTAAAGTGAGAATAATGGCGGAAGGAAACACATCGCGTCTGTAAAGAAAAAAGTGTTATTCAGAAAAATTACACAGACAGAAGTATCGTCCAGAAATTCTCAGGTAAAAATTTAAATAAATAGTTATTAGATTTGTGTTTGTGTAGTATTTTTAAGATGAAATATGCATTTTTGGCTTCAACTCAAGGTAAGATCTAAAAAATAAATAATCGTTACATGTAATTTTCAACAATTAAAGAAATAATAGCATACAAACATTTAAATAGAACATATTGTACTAAAAGTTATTTATAATTTTATACTAAAATTTAATTTCAATTCTAACCAGTACAAATACTTGTAATTGACTATAAAATATATATAAAACAATAAATTAGTCAATTACAAGTATTTGTACTGGTTAAAATTGAAATTAAGTTTTATATATATATATATAGGTATTTTATTATATACTTTTACACACACATTTCTATTTATTTGTTCATTCTTTAATGTTATTCATCATAATACGTAATTCTTAGCAATTCTATTACTACATTCAATAATAATTTATTAAAAATATACGTATTTAATAGTAAAAATAATAATTTTACTGTGTAATATAATAAAATTTTTCAGTTCTCAAATAAAGTACGTAGAAGACCTTGCAGCTCGGAGTTCAAAACAACAA